CTGAAAATCCCACTGTTCTCCATGTCATCCAGTCATGATCCAGTGATCGGAATGTTCCATTGTCTTTTTATTGTTCTGAAAATCCCACTGTTCTCCATGCCATCCAGTCAGGACACAGTGATCGGAATGTTCCATTGTCTTTTCATTGTTTTGAAAATCCCACTGTTCTCTATGCCATCCAGTCATGATCCAGTGATCTGAATGTTCCATTGTCTTTTCATTGTTTTGAAAATCCCACTGTTCTCTATGCCATCCAGTCATGATCCAGTGATCGGAATGTTCCATTGTCTTTTTATTGTTCTGAAAATCCCACTGTTCTCCATGTCATCCAGTCATGATCCAGTGATCGGAATGTTCCATTGTCTTTTTATTGTTCTGAAAATCCCACTGTTCTCCATGCCATCCAGTCAGGACACAGTGATCGGAATGTTCCATTGTCTTTTCATTGTTTTGAAAATCCCACTGTTCTCTATGCCATCCAGTCATGATCCAGTGATCTGAATGTTCCATTGTCTTTTCATTGTTTTGAAAATCCCACTGTTCTCCATGTCATCCAGTCATGATCCAGTGATCAGAATGTTCCATTGTCTTTTCATTGTTTTGAAAATCTCACTGTTCTCCATGTCATCCAGTCATGATCCAGTGATCAGAATGTTCCATTGTCTTTTCATTGTTTTGAAAATCCCACTGTTCTCCATGCCATCCAGTCATGATCCAGTGATCAGAATGTTCCAATGTCTTTTCATTGTTTTGAAAATCTCACTGTTCTCCATGTCATCCAGTCATGATCCAGTGATCAGAATGTTCCATTGTCTTTTCATTGTTTTGAAAATCCCACTGTTCTCCATGCCATCCAGTCATGATCCAGTGATCAGAATGTTCCATTGTCTTTTCATTGTTTTGAAAATCTCACTGTTCTCCATGCCATACAGTCATGATCCAGTGATCGGAACAAATCATATTTTTAAGAAATGTGTCTATTTTTTCAGAGCGACATCTAAAGTTACTTGTGGCGGAGAATTGAAGTATCTTTTCTCGTGTGTCGACGAAGATGATTGGCCATGCCTGGTCAAAAATAAAGAGGGAGAATTTGACGACTTGCCTGACAGCGAAAGTCCTGAACTCAGGATTAAAGCTAACAGATTTGAATCCAACAAAACGTAAGAATAGATTTTATACACAGTTTGAAATGGTCGCTAAATTTAACATCAGGTCCTATATCAATGTGTATTAATAATTGTGAAACTCATTAAGGCGAAGGAGTTTGTATATACAAAATCAAGTTGATACAAAATCAAGCTGATTTACATGAACTTTAAGTTCAATTTTCTTATCAAATATCATAATAATTTCAAGTTGTTGAAGAATACGAATGTTCTCTTCAAGACGTTTCACAATACATATATCTTTGTGTTTTGATAATATAAAAACAGGTGTTTAATATGTTGGCAAATTATGTGCAAAAACAGAATGTAATACTTGATCACTGAAATATTTTAAGACTTTAAAAGAATGACTTTATTATTTTAATTTTTTTCTCAGTCACCGCGAGGTTTCTATTTGGCAAGTATTTGGTGGCCACCCCTGTCGTTCAAAGCTGGGTTAGCTTAACCCCAGGTTCCCCTAAAAATCAAAGCAAACATCCCACCAGCGTGTTTATAAATTTGAAAATATTTCTTTGGAAACCTTGTCTGAATCAGATCAGAATTTTCTTCTCTGAAGTTTTGAAATAAACAGACGTGCAGAAATACAGACACTGTTGGCGCTATCCAGCTTTGAACCGGCACCAGTGATGAAAAATCGTATTTCTATTTTTAGCTACACGTTTACGCTTGGAGTGTTCAAAGGCACACAGAACGTTACAGCGTCAGTCAGAGTGAAGATTTCCCCAGGGACTCCTCCCACAGTGCAAATTAAGAAACCCAAGGATGGTGTTAAGCCTGTGGTCCGTGTTCGCATTAAGTCATCCAGGAGTGGTACCACATCGTTCAACTGTGAAGGCGTGGTCGAGGAGGGTTAGTATTTGAGCTCTATATATGTCTGGAGCAGTCATTCGGCATACGAGAAAA